TATGAGTGGCTAAATCCATACGCTAGGGATATGGGATGATTGATTAGGTTCGATTATAATTGCTTGTTCTTGATTGTTCAATCTAGTCAAGTTGTTCTTATTCTAGGGTTAGTAGATTGGTCACCTTTCTAACCTAATTAATCAACGTGTAGAACCGAGAGGGGAGACGTTGGTCGATATAGGCTTGTTTAGAGTAGACTTGTTCGTAATAGTATTGTCTATGGGTTGTTGGAATTGATAGTTGATCGTGTACGTTCACTCTCTTGTTACGAAGAGTTATTGAGAGTGAGCCTCTGGACGAGAAACGATTCAAGTCCCCTAACCGAGCAATTGATTGCCGGTAGTTGTGTTAGAACCGAAAGCATTATCCCCGATTCCCTAGCTCTTTAATCATTTGAGTTTGTTCACTTGCTATTTAATTTGTTTACATTAGTTTTGAATCTTTAGTTGATAATTAAAACCCCAAAATTATTGAATAGAGTGTTTAGGAATTTTTCTTTTCTTTCTCGTGATCGAATAATCGTACAATTGAATCCGGCTAACCTTCCTTGCGATACGACCCGGGGAACGAATCTTTCGATTCTACTCCGGTAAAAATACTCACAACAACCACCAATTTTATATTTATATAAAAAAAATATAATCTTATCACATCATACTATTCACAAACATAGATAATCAAAAAAACCAACCAAAATGTTCTAATCATGCTTTTTTAAGGTAACCTAATAAGCTAACGAAGCCCGGCCAATCCCACAAACCTTAGGTAATGAAAAGAAGTTAAACAACCCACCAAATTTTTCCTATGTACACTTGACATTTTGTTAGGCTTGCTTAATTATTAGGATTTAGGAAAGATACATTTTCATTGAAAATTATATTTTTTTATTATATCATAGTTAAATTAATATAAATAAAAGTATAATATTTAATTGTATAGAAAATGTTTCTTATAGAGTCCACTAATGATCAAATCCCACATATTATATCTTGTAATGTATTTAATATTACGCTTTGAACAGAAACACACCATTTTCATTGTTTCAAAAAAATTGGCCAGGCGGCATTGTTGATATCCCAATTTTATTTCTTATTTTAATTTAATTATAAAATGGAATAAAGATATATTACGATTTTCATATTTTAAAGACACAATAGTTATACTTATAGAACTAAAAAATAATAATTACATTAAAATTAATATACTAATTATATATATATATAGATATATATTAAATTTTAGAAAATCTTTATATTTAATAGTATTATCTATTACATTTTATATAGAGTATTTTGAGAGATAATAAATATAAATAAATTATTTAATATATTATGAAAACCGGGTAAGTTTAGTTGAATAATTATTTTAGACTAGTACAGAGCTCGTGCGATGCACGGGGTGTACAATTTTAAGGCCATTTATCCAGCCTTATAATTATATAAATGAATAAAGAAAAATATACGAGATATATATAGTACGTGACCTGTGCGAGGCACGAGATATATTTATTTGGGGATTATTATATTATAAGATGCAATATTCAATAAAAGTTTTACAATACGCAGGAAAATTGTACAATAAAATAGTATTCGACAAAGAAACAATCATATATTATTAAAGACCTCATTGTACACAACATTATAAGTGATTATTGGGAAACTCCTCATTCTCACAAACTAATATCTTCAACCCCCTTCTGTTAGTTACACGCGAAACAACATATCATTGACCATGACTAAAGACATGTTTCTTTAGAAAAAGACCAACGTGGGATAAAATATCTTCAACCCCCTTCTGTTAGTTACACGCGAAACAACAACATATCATTGACCATGACTAAAGACAGGTTTCTTTAGAAAAAGACCAACGTGGGATAAAGACTGTCTTTGACTCTTGTTTATGGTCATGACATACAAAACATGTACAAAAATATCTAAATACATACACGAAAATATAAAAAAATTAAAAATATACGTTTCAAAGTTCGAAATTAAAAAAAAAAAAATCAAATAATTTGGCTTACAGTTATATCATGCAGAACCAACTTGAAATATGATTTGTATGAGCTGCCACAGTCTAGGAAAAACATTCTTACAATTCGAACTCTGAGCATAGGTCTATTAGACCTATTGACTTGTTTGATTAAGTCAAATTCTTTATTCATTGTTTTGAATAAAAGTCTGATTCGGGATATTTTTTATTCGCATGATGTTGACAGTGAGGAAGATAATGACTCGATATTTTGAGATTTGTAATTTATAATGGGTAGAGTAGATATATATTGTTGTTAATATTTTTATGAAAAAATCCGAATATACAGAAATCGGTTTGAACAAAATCAGTACATATTTTCATACAATTAGATAATAACTAAAGCCCTTTTTATTTTAGTAAAGATTTTACGTACTTTTTTTTACTTATCGGATGTTATGGGATTTTTTTTTTCTTAAATCGATTTTATGAGATATAAGACAAATACAATTAGATGATTGAACAAAATCAGAACAGAGTTTCATACAATTAGTAAATAAGAAAGAATTTGATAAGGAATTTTGAATGTGCATTTTTTTAGTATAGATATAGACTTTACGTACAATTTTTGACTTCACCGATTTTATGAGATTTGTTTTTTACTGAATCGATGTTTTGACGTAAAGATTTTAGGTACTTCTTTTTAATAAAAATAAATAAATAATTATATAAAAATAAATAAAATAATTATATAAAATTATTATTTTTTAGTAAAGACGTTACGAGTTTTTTTTTCTTGAACAGATTTTATTGGATATAAGACAAATAAATAAAATAATTATATAAAATTCTGGATAGAAATAGTAATGCATTAATTACGTTGACTTTTCAACTTACTAAATTTGGTAAATAGGACACCTTATTATATAAGGCTATCTCCAACCGAAATACTCATTCTCAAACTCATTTTGCAGTAACTGTCATATTTTGCAGTAATTCATATCCAACCGAAAAACTCATTCTCAAACCCAAAAGAATATTCTCGGAATATTCTCTTTTACATCAACTTTTACAACTTTCAATACTACCAACATATTTTACAACTTTACAAATTAAACTACACTATTATTTTTAATTCAATTTATACTTTATGTAATAAAATTAATTATAAAGTTATAATCATATACATAATAAATTGGAGAAATAAATATTCATTAAAAAATAAAAATTACATTAAAAATAAAATTAAAAATGACAACGCACAAGCTACAAGCTATCTTAAATTATTAATTAATAATTCGTGCACATATAATAAATTGTAGTTTGCCTATATTAAATTTTGAAAATATTTCAACCGGCATAATTGTTTTTTTATGATAACTAAGTTCAAAGCTTTGATATGCATGTTATGAAAATTACAAATAATTTAGAATGTTAAGAAATTTTTTACAAATTTTTTTTGTAGTTGTAGGATCTAATATACACACTACATTGTACAATGTTATGAAATTTGTTACAAATATTTTTGTAGTTGTAGATCTAATATACACATTACATATATTCTTGTTATATTTTATACTTCAGTGTATTTTTACAAGCAAAATAATTATAAAATAAAATTATTATATCTAACAACTCAATTTACTTAATTGTCATAATTAGAGAAAATATTTTTTAGCAAAATAATTATAAAATTAATTATTTTATCTAATAACTCAAATTACTTAATTGTCATAATTAGAGAAAATATATTTTTTCTCATAATAAAGTTACATATTGCGATGGAAAAAATATGTATTTTTTTTTAATAATAGTTAATAGATGGTATATAATTTTGGTGTAAAAAATGAGTTAATGACCAAAATACAATTTAAATAGAAAAATGGAGTTGATTGCAATTAAAAAACTACAAACGCAAAATTTTTGCGTAGAACGCAAATATGTCTGAAATAGGAGGGAAATAAAATCTTGCATTTTGCGTCCGTCTTTGCCGTTCGGTTGGAGCTCTTTTACCCTAATTTTTGCGATTTGGTGTCAGTTGGAGACGGTCTAAGTATAAATGTTTTCTTATATTAAATATAACATTTTCGATAAGGAGAAATTACAATAGGATTTATTGCCTTAATTACATTTTGGATGACAACAAATCTTCTCAAGATAAGATGGTCTTTAATAAAAAGATTATCTAATCCAAATTCAAAATTTTCAAAAATCTCCTCGATATTAATGAAATCAAGCCTTAATTTTCACAATTTCCCTTCCAGTTATAATCCATATAAAAGTGTAATTATTATCAAAAAAATCAATAGCTTATACAACAAGTAATTTAAAAATATATATTATCTAAAATTAAATTAAATAATATGTATACAAAAAATATGAAAATGGAATAAGATATATTGACTGCGAAATGCTATAGTCCTATTTGCGGAACCATTCCGCGGAGTTTTGTAATCATTAGATCAAACTATCCACAACGGTTACAAACTCCGACAGAATGGTTCTATACGGGACTGTACCATCTCCTTCATTCACATTTGATCTAACGATTGCAAAACTCGACGGAATGGTTTGGTAACGAAAATTTACCATCTCCTTCATTCACTTACCTTATCTCACATCTAATTTATCCATTTCTTATGATAAAGTTTCCTTTTTTTTAAAAAAAAAAAAGAACCATTAATTTGACAAGTTTCCATCTAACGTTCGCATGTTTATCAAATCTTATCCAAATTTCGTACCAATTTAGGTAGCTGTAATAAATTAGTTAAGTCAATCATAATTGTACTAAACACCCGTCTGACCACAAATTCATACGTTACACACAAAAAAAACCTTAATTATCTCGAAACATAAACCCAAGACAGATCCCAAAAACACTCCTATTTCCTTATCTCCCTCGTCAAGTCACCCCTATAAATACATCCCTTTGCCAAACACAATACTCAACTCAACACACAACACTACATAATCAAACAAGCTCTATTTGTTTCTTCTTTTTCTTCCTCCACAAAAAAATCAGATTGCAATGGCAAACACCGTGAGCGCAGTCGGGTGGGGCACCAAGGACTCGTCGGGTATCCTCACCCCTCTCAAGTTCACCCGTCGGGCCACGGGCCACAAGGACGTCCAGTTCAAGGTCATGTTCTGCGGGGTCTGCCACTCGGACCTCCACCTCATCAAGAACGATTGGGGCTTCGCCAACTACCCCATGATCCCGGGCCACGAGATCGTTGGCCTCGTCACCGAGGTTGGGCCCGGCGTCACCCGATTCAAGCCCGGCGACAAGGTCGCCGTCGGCGTCATGGTCGGCTCGTGCCGCAACTGCGACTACTGCACTGTCAGCCTCGAGAACTTCTGCCCCGAGAAGCTCGACACGTACAATGGCGTCCAGAAGGACGGCTCCCTCACCTACGGAGGTTATTCCGATCTCATGGTTGCCGAAGAGGATTTCGTCATCCGGTGGCCGGACAATTTCCCGATGGACCGCGGGGCGCCCCTCGTCTGTGCGGGAATCACGACCTACAGCCCGCTGAGATACTACGGGCTGGACAAGCCGGGCCTCAATGTCGGTGTGGCCGGGCTGGGCGGGCTTGGCCACGTCGCGGTGAAGTTTCTCAAGGCGTTTGGTGCTAAGGTGACGGTGATCGACATCGCGCCCGAGAAGAAG